GCTTGGATGCTGCTCGCCGCGCAGCTGCCGCGCTGGAAAGCTCAGGCCCCCGGGGGGGCTCTCTGCCTCGCCGGGCCTGCGCCTCGGTTTCCCCTCCCAGCCCCAGTGCTGCTGCCGGTGACGCGGGGTGCCCCTCAGTGCCCTGGGGGTGCCCAGCCTCGGAGGGGACGTGTCTGGTCATGGACCCGTCTCCGCCAGCCCCTTTGCACGTGCACCACAAGGCTCGAGCTGTGCGGAGCTTCTCCTGACCGCTGTGCCCAGGCCTTGGCCAGCGGCCCGGGGCCCTCCCGCCAGCCTGAGGGCCGTCACGTCCGCCTCGGGTGCCAGCTGTGCTGGGCAGGGCCCCTCCGGTGCCACCCTGGGCACTGCGTCCTCTTCCAGCCGCAGCAGGGAAGGCTCCGGCTGGAAAGGGTTACGCCCAGCAGCTGCGCTCTCCGGGGAAGGAGCGTCTCCTGCGATGGGTTGAAATGCAATTGAAGGTGCGTCGCCTGAGCCGCGCATGGGGGGCAGGGCTGCGGGCCAAGCCGGCTGTGCGGGGCCCGGTCGGCTGCGGTGGAGGGGCATCGGGGCTGGGAGCACCGTGGGCTGTGGTTTGGGGCACAGCACAGCCTAGGCTAGGGCACAGATGCTCCCCCACAGGTGCAGGGACCGTGGCAGTCTGCGCAGCCACGGGCACGCGCACCCCATGCACACCCACCCCTGTAGCCCTTGCCCCCGAGACTCGTGCTGTGCTGTGTGTCCTTGCGTTGCGCGACCTTGCGTCCGGCTGCTCTCAGGCCCGCGAGCAGATCTGATGGCCCTGCCTGGTCCAGGGTCCCCCTGCGTGTGCCAGCCCCACACCTCCTTTTGCAGGTGCCCCCAGGAGGTCCCAGCCCTGGGCAGCTAGTCCCTTTCCTGGCCCCAGACGCCCCGTGGCTCCTGGGAACGGTGGCTTTCCCGGGGCTGCCGGGCAAGGCGTGCAGGCGGCTCAGTCCCTGCTCTGAGAGCAGGTGGTTGGAAGGGCTCTGCTGCCTGGCCTGGCCTGGCCCGGGCAAGCACGCTGGGGGCAGCGCGTCCCTGCCCCTGCAGCACTGTTGGCAGGGCCAGGGCCTTCTTCCACTGCAGCCCCCCCAGCATGCACTCGCGCACACACATGCACATGCACACATCTGCTGCACGCATGCACACACATGTATTCACTGCCACATACATGCACACATACAGTGTCTCTGCCACACATGCCTGTGCTCTCTGGTGCACGCACACACACAGTCTCCGCTGCACACGCGCTCACTGCCACACACACACACACACTCTGCCGCACGCACACACTCATGCAGTGCTGCACCTGGGGCCTGGCACTGCCCAGCAGGAGGTGGGGGGTGCACAGCAGGGAGAGCAGGGCACACGGGCTGAGACCCCTCTCCCATGGTGGCCCCTGGAGGCCGGATCCTGAGCTGGGTGTAACCGGGAGCAGCTGTAGCGGCACAGCCAGGGGGCTGTGCCCCATCTCTGGGCCGACTCCCCCTAGCTCCTGCCTGCCCCTGCAGGGCTCAGGGGTTGGGCCTGTCCCCAGGGACAGGTGGAGGGCACCCCCCAGCCCTTTGGGCCCCAGAGTCTCCTGGACCAGAGCACATAACCCCTCCAGCCCCAGCCCGCAGAGGCAGGCGAGACTCTCAGTCCTGGAGCTCTCTGTCCGGTGCATTTCCAGCCCTCCTGGCTGCAGGCGGGAGCTGGACCGGCCCAGGCCAAAACATGTTTCCGACCCCCGCCGAAACATCTGCTTGCTGCAGTGGTTGCCTGCGTCCCGCGTGCCGACCGTGGGCGGGGAGGGGGTGTGCGTGTGCACGGATTATATATAGGCGCATTGTTCCGCCGGGGAGCTGCAATTATCCCCCGTGATTCATGCGCAGCAGGGGAAGGGGTAGGTGGCAGGAGCATTGTTGGAGGCTGCGGGCCGGGTGCTGAAGTGGCCTGTGCGCAAGGGGCAGCCAAGGTGCTGTGGGGCAGGAGGAGGGGGCAGTTTTCTGTGTGAACCCCGGGGGTTGCATTTCCCCCCCTCCAGTCTGCTCCAGAGCCAATAGCAAGCCCCCCACTGCCCCCAGAAAAGGGCGCTCGCAGGCTGCCCCAGGGCCCTACACCTGCCTGGGTGGCGTGCCAAGCCGGGGCTGGCATTCGCCCCTGCATGCTAGCTCCCGATCTGCCAGCCCAGCCGCCGGCCTTGTTAGCAGCTCAATGCCTCCCACGTTCCCCTTTTCATCTGCGTGCATGGTCCCGGGCAAGCCAGGCCCAGGGGGAGCTGGTGGCTCTTGGACCCGTGTCTGATTTGCAAGAGGGCTGGAGCTGGCGGGGCCTGGAGCATGTGGGGGAGTGGGGTTGCTGTCCACGGTGCTGGCTGGCAGGGCCTGGCACACTCCAGCAGAGGGCGCCCGCTGACCGGCCTGGCAGTGCTGCCTAATGGGTAGGAGCGAGCACAGCTGGGCACAGCTGCACCCATGGCTGCAGCTCTGCTTGGGGCTGGAGATGGCTCCGGACCTGCCAGGGGTGATGGGATGGGACATCCCGGCCGGTCCAGTCCCACCTCTGCACGCACCCGTGTGCACACGTGTGTGAGTACACGGGCATACATGTTGGTGTGTCGGAGTGCGCGGGGCGGCCTCTGCTGCGTTGGCCTTTTCAGGGGAGCAGGCGGGCGTTGGGGTGTGCACGTGTGCCTGCCTGCGCAGTGCACATGCTAGCTGGTGTGCACGTGGCACATGAAGGTGGCGGAGCTGTTGGATGGGGCCAAGTGCCCACACGCCGGCTCAGGGCCAGGCCGAGGTCTAGGCCTGGTTTGCAAGCTCTGCTTTGCAGCCTCCTCTCTGCCCCCAGCCCTGAGAGCCTGGGCGTGTGGCAGGGCTCCCGAGGCCAGATGTGGCGCCAGCTGTTGCACAGCTGCCCACTCCCAGTCAAGCTTCCCAGCCCCTGGCTCTGGGAGCGCTGACATGCCCCAGCCCCCGGTTTGTGGAGCTGGGGATAAGTCTGTTCTGCATTTGGGGGGGTTGTTTTGCAGCCTGGAGCCGTGGCCGTACAGGCCGTCTCCTGCCCCGGGGAGATGTCATGGCACTGATGGGCAGGCTGATGGCACGGTGCCTACGGCTGAGCCCCCTGACACCGTGCCCCTGCCTTCCCCGAGGCAGGGCAGAGCCGTGCCCCACACCTGAAGCTGGGGCAAGGAGCCAGGGACAGAGCCGGGCAGCCTGAGCCAGGGGTCTTGCATGCCTAGACCCTGCAGGAAGGGGATCCCCATCTCCTGGGGCTGGGTCAGCCAGGGGTGCTGTGGGCAGAGCAGGGCTCGGGGTGCTGCATGGTCTGCGCTCTCTGCTCTGCCCGGAGCCCAGGGGTGCAGCTGGCACGTAGGCTGCAGCACTTTTCCCCCTCCCGCCGGCCTGGAAAGCCGCGGTCAGCAAGGAGCCAGGCCACGCAGAGCTCGCGCCGGCCCCGAACAAGGCCTGCCATTCTCCTGCCTCCTCCGTGCCCGCCACCCCCTCCCTAGCCGCTCGGCCTGGCCACAATCCAGCCGCTTGTCGGCCTGGAATCCCCGCCGCTGCTCGGCCACGCCAGGGCTTTCCACCGGCCCGTGCCGGGGCATGGGGGCTGCTGCAAGCTTCCCCACAGCAGTGCCCTGATAGCAAAGAGCATCCCTGCTGCTGGCGGGGCCCCGGTGGGCACGCCAGCTGGGTGCCCGGTGCCTGCCAGTTCTGGCCCAGCCTCTGCTAGGGCCTCCCTCGGGCCTCCTGCCAAGGCAGAGCTAATGGGTCCCTCGGAGAGCCGGTGCCAGCTGCTCCAGAGCTGCCGGGGGTGGAGAATCGCGGGCTGGCGGGTGCGGAGAGCCCCGGCCCTGCCTGCCTGCGCTGCCCGGAGCCGGTGGGGCTGGAAGGAAGCTGCCGAGGCGGCGGGGAGGGGTTTGGGCGAGGCGAGGCGAGGCGAGGCCGGGCAGTCACTGCCACTCTGGACTCTGCAGCTGCAGGAGCTGGCGACTGGAGCGGGCGGCCGGCATGAGCGCCAGGAAGCGGAGCTTCACCTTCGGGGCCTATGGAGGGTACGTGCCGCGGTGCGGGGGCTCTGCGTCGTGCAGCTCTGCCCGCGCCCCCGGGCCCAGCCCCAGCTCAGCCAGTATGCCCCAGGCCCAGCCCAGTTCCCGCTGTCCCAGCCCAGCTCTGCAAGTGCGGGCTGTTCCTTGTGCTCCGGCCCCGTTTCCCCGCGCCCTGTCCCTGCCCGGACCCGCTCTCCCGGCTCCCTCCAGCTCTGCCCCCGAAGGCATCGGAGCACGGATGGGCACGGGGTGCCTCCCGCATGGTGCGGGCTCACGCGTGGCTAAGGCCAGGGGCGGCACTGCCACCCCCCACGGCCCGCCTCTCACAGCTGGGACCCAGGGGAGGTGCCTTGGCACTAAGCACCCAAGTCTGGATGCCTGGGCTCCTGGGTCCCACTTGCCCTGCCACTGGCTGGCTGGATAGCTGTGGACAAGCCCTCTTCCCCGCTTCGTGCCTCAGTTTCCCCCTCCACACTGATGGAGCTTGTTTTCCTCCTGTGTGTCCGGGACATGTCACACCTGGGGAGATCCACATCGGAGCTAAGGTGCCCACGGGCTGGTCCTCGCCTGTGGGGCTGCAGCAGGCTGGTGCGAGCGTCTAGCCCGGCGGGGAGCATGGGCAACCTGCGGCATGCATGTCACCAGTGGCATGTGTGTGTGGCACACGGCAGACCAGGGAGGGGGCAGGCAACGCGGCAGCAGATAGGGCAGGGAGCAGAAAGCAGAGCAGCCTGTAGGGCAGGGGGCACAGGGCAGGGAGCAGAAAGCAGAGCAGCAAATCAGGCAGAGAGCACAGGGCAACAAGGAGAAAGCAGAGCATCTGGTGGGGCAGGGTGAAAACCCATGCTGCTGACCCCGGGGCTGGCCGTGCCCCCGGATGCTAGCAGCTGTCCTCCCCACCATGTCATTTGGGGCCCTCAGGTGCTGTCCTGCCCAGGCCGGGCCGGGTCCAGGTGGCCTCATGCTGGGACCAGGTGCTGGATGCTGCCCAGGCCACGGCCGTCTAGCACCCCTGGGAAATCCTGGGGGATGGAGGCTGCTGGGCTCAGCCCTTCGCCCCGGGGGCATATGCCAGCTCCCTGTGCCCACAGGGCGTGCGGGCAGCAGGTGGCACCTCGTGTCTGGGCTCGGGGCGGGGGGTGTGGAGCAGACCAGCCCCTGGCCCTCGTGGACTCGGGCCCGAGCTGCCCCCGCGTCCCGGGCGGAGAGGCCGGAGCTGCCCCAATGCCCCTGGCCCCCTGCTGGGCCCAGGCAGGACTGCAGCGGGGCAGGAGGGAGCGGTCCCCGTTGTCTTGCAGGCCTGTGTTTACTCCTCTGCATGTCCTCCCTGCTGGCGCCGCGGCCCCCGGTGCATTTGTTGCCTGGAAACCCTCTGCGCGGCCCGTCCCCAGGCCTCGGGGACGGTGGAGCAGGCAGCGCGAGCCGCGGGGCCAGGCGGGCTGGGAGCAGCACATACCTGCGTCGCCAGCGCCTGCAGCATCGCGGCAGAAGGGCGCCGGGGT